GACCTGAAATCCCATCCAGCACCGGGACAGGGACAGTTCCGCCATCCCAAACCGCTCCAAACCCCATTTTTGGGTCCTCCCGGTCCTGGACCAGCCGCAGTTTCTCTCCTGGGGGTGCCCGGTGCACGGTGGGGACACAGAACCGCGGAATCAGGGAACGTTTTGGGATCGGGAGGGATCTGAAATCCTATTCCAGCACCAGGACAGGGACAATTCCACCATCCCAGACTGCTCCAAACCCCATTTTTGGGCACTCCCGGTCCTGGACCAGCCGCAGTTTCTCTTCCCGGSGGTGCCCGAGCTGTCCCTACCCCTGCCCGGTGTCCGGTGCCCGGTGGGAGACACGGAACCGGGGAATCAGGGAACGTTTTGGGGTCGGGAGGGATCTGAAATCCCACCCAGCACCGGGACAGGGACAATTCCGCCATGCCAGGCTGCTCCAAACCCCAATTTTGGACACTCCCGGTCCTGGACCAGCCGCAGTTTCTCTCCCGGGGGTGCCCGGTGCCCGGTGGGGGACACAGAACCGGGGAACCAGGGAACGTTTTGGGATCGGGAGGGATCTGAAATCCCATCCAGGGCTGGGACAGGGACAATTCCAGCACCTCAGACTGCTCCAAACCCCAAGTTTGGGCACTCCCGGTGCTGGACCAGCCGCAGTTTCTCCGGTCATTGCAGCCCCGGGGGTACCGGGGTTGCCGAGTTGTCCCTGCCCGGTTCCCGGTGCCCGGCTGGGGACAAGAACCGCAGAATCGGGGTCGGGAGGGACCCAAAATCCCATCCAGCACCGGGACACGGACAATTCTGTAATCCCAGGCCGCTCCAAACCCCATTTTTGGACACTCCCGGTCCTGGACCAGCCTCAGTTTCTCTCCCCGGGCGTGCCCGAGCTGTTCCTACCCTTACCCGGTGCCCGGTGGGGGACACAGAACCAGGGAACGTTTTGGGGTCGGGAGGGACCCGAAATCCCACCCAGCACCTGGACAGGGACAATTCCACCATCCCAAACCGCTCCAAACCCCATTTTTGGACACTCCCTGTCCTGGTCCAGCCGCAGTTTCTCTCCCGGGGGTGCCCGGTGCACGGTGGGGACACAGAACCGGGGAATCAGGGAACGTTTTGGGGTCGGGAGGGATCTGAAAT